TCCTTTACTGCAAAGAGGACAGTGCTCAGGCAAAGGCCCAGTGGTCCACCACAAATATATAGACAAGGTCTGATGGACCAGAACCCTGCCACGAAAAAGAGGCTTTATTGGGCAGGGGTGGACCGCCTTGCAGGTCAAGACAGCCCCTGTTTGGCTTGGGGAAAGGGTTTTTAAGGGTTGTTGGCGGGGGGGGGGGGGGTCTCTGTGGGTGATCCAGGTGCGAGCAGCAGATGTGACACGGTCCTGGGCAGCGTTGACTTTTGTGGTTGGATCAGCTCTGGGAAGTTTCTTTTCTTGTAATGGAAACATGAACAGGTTCTGGGGACAGGCTGACCCTTTAAAGCCATTTCCTGGCCAGGGTGCCCTGGAACCAGATTTCTGTGGAGCAGGATGCTGAGCTTTAGAGGCCACAGTGATGTCCCAGGGCGGGCAGGCCAGTGGGAAACTTGCCAGGCAGGAAGGAGCACAGCGGCTTGGGGACCTGCTGCAGGAGCGCGGGCTGCTCCACTACCTGGCCGTGCGTGGTGGTGCATGCCTGTGCTGCCAGCATGAGGGAAGCCGAGGCAGGAGGATCACAAATTCAAAGTCAGCCTGGGATACCTAGCAAGTCTGAGGTCAGCATGGACTGCAGAGTAAGACCTTGTCTCAAAACAAACCAAGACAAAATGGGCTGGAGGTGTAGCTCAGTGGTGGAGTGCTTGCCTGGCATGAAAGAGGCCCTGGGCTCCATCCCAGATCTGAAAAAAGCCAGAGCAGCCAGGCTCATCTGAGCAAAATATGCACTAGTGGTTGACTGGTGGAGTTAGCCATTGTACCCGATCAGAAGGGAAGGGGAGGGAAGGGAGGGGAGGGGAGGGAAGGGGAGGGAAGGGAGGGGAGGGGAGGGGAGGGAAGGGAGGGGAGGGGAGGGGAGGGGAGGGAAGGGAGGGGAGGGGAGGGAAGGGAAGAAAATGGAAGGGGAGGGAAGAGGAGGGAAGGGAAGAGAATGGAAGGGGAGGGGAGGGGAGGAAGGGAGAGAAGGGAGAGATAAATGGGAAGAGGCTGGGCAGAAGTGACCTGTTAAATGGACCAACAGTGTGGGCGATGCCCCTCGGCAGATTCTGATGTCACCAGCGTCACCCGTGTGTGCTGCCTGTCTCGCAGGGCTGGGGATGGGAGCCAGGCAAGGACCACAGCAGCCCAAAGCCTGGCATAACCACCCTGCACCCCAGCTGGTGGCCCTGCTTGATCACACCCGGCTCCAGCACCCAAAGACTTTCATTTTAATCGGTCATACAGCATGTCTGAGTGTCTATGCCCAGGGTGAGATCAGTGGGGTTGTTTTAGGGGTAGGGGTGGCACAGGGGATTGAACCCCGGCCCTTTTAATTTTTTGCTTTGAGACAGAGTCTTGCTGAGTTGTGCAGGCAGCATGAACTGGAGACCCTCCTGCCTCAGTCTCCCCAAGTGCTGGGTCACATCCCCGGCTCCAGGGCACGCTCTTTCAGGGCAGCAGGTTCCGCAATGACAGGAAGTTTAGAAAGCGCTGCAGTTAAGGTGAGGCGTCTCTCTGCCCTCTTTTTTTTCCTTCCCACTTTGTATTGTTACTTCCCTAAGATCCTGCGGGCACAGCCTCGAGGGTTAGTGGGCTCCCCAGGGATCAGCATGAGTCACACCCCAGCCTGGCTTGGGTGCGGGGAGCTTTGTCAGCTGACGGTTTCATGGAGCGCTCAGGTTAATGCGGGACTGTGTCACAGACGCGAAGGCCCTTGGTGCCCTTTGAGGCTTTTTGTTCTGGAAATCCTCTCCGTGTGTACATTATTGTACATTATACACCTCAGGATTTTCACTGTCTCTTTTTTTCTTTCCCTGTGCAGGAGTTGAACCCAGGACCTTTGCACAGAGACAAACCCACAGCCCTTTCAGTTTTTTACTCTGAAATGGAGTTTCTGTAAACCACTACGTTGCCCAGCTTGGGCCTGAGTTTCTGACCCTCCTGCCTCAGCCTCTTGAGAGCTGGGACTACCACTCCCGGCAGTGATTCTGCTGCTTCAGGACACCATGGTGCTCGGACACGCGGCCGACTCCTTCCCCATCGTCAGCTATTGCTCCGCCTGCTGCTCCACAGGTCTTCGGGGGACACACAGGGTCCCCCTGGTGCTTACAGCCCAGGAGTGAGATCTCTGGGCGTGACACCAAAGCGTGAAGCTCCCAAGCGCTGAACCACATCTTAATGTCGTTACAGTTTCGCCCCTTCTGGTTGGAGACCACTCTCGCTGTGTTCTGGAGAACCCCCAGTCACTCATCCACACAAGCCATTCGGTTTATTTTGGGTTCAGGCGGAGCATTGCTACCTTGCCTGGGCTGGCCTGGAAATTGCAATCCCCGGGCCTTCGAAGCAGCCCGGATCACAGGCATGCACTGCCATGTCCCAAAAGTCATTCTTCCAGGGCAAATCATTACTAAGAACATCTGGTCAGGGATCCGGGGGTCGCCCCTGAGCCATCCACCGGACTGCTCAGTACCATGGACAAAACCACAAACAGACAAACCACAGCAGGAAGCCCCTTTACAACAGAGCCAGTGTTATGACATCCAGGTACTAGCCAGCTGTGGTTCATTTGCATTTCCCCGCTCCTGAAATCTTGGCACAGCAGGGTTACCACAGTGCTGGTGACTCCTGCTCCTGACTCCTGCCACCAAAGTGCAAGCCCTGCTGAATTCTTCTAAGGTGACTCCGTAGCTAAGTGTCTCCAAAAATCAAGTGGCGGTGACATTACCTTACTTGGCTCTGTTTCTGGTCTTCCTGGCCTGGCTGCAATCCTGTCCCTGAAAATCAACAAAACCAAAACCCCTAAACTTTCTTTTTTTGGGGGAGCAGCCTTTGTCCTGAGTGACATCCCTAGTCTTTTTTAGTTTTTTTTTTTTTTTTTTTTAATTTGAGACAGGGTCTTGTGAAGTTGCTCAGTTTTCCTGGCTGATCTGGAGTTTGAGATCTTTCTGCCTCAACCTCCTGAGTGCTGGGATTATTGGAAGTGTGCCACCATAACCAGATTACAATTTTATTCTTTGTTTCCTTCAGGGTCCAACTATGTAGCCCAGGCTGGCCTTGAATTCTGGTGATCCTCCCGCCTCAGCCTTCCTCCTAAGGGCTGAGATTGCACCCACCACCAAACTTTATTTTTAAAATAAATTTTGTCTTTAGGATCTGTTCTAGATTACAGGGAAATGGTGATGAAGTACAGAAAGCTCATACACACCCCACACACCCAGTTTCTCTTACTGTAATATGGTAGAACAGTGCGGGCCTTACAATTACCCAGGAGAGGAGGGCTTGGGTCTGTAATCCCGGGTGTTTAGGAGGCTGAGCCAGGATTGGGATTTTGAGGCCAGCCTCCAATTTAGGGAGACTGAAAAGAAAATTAGAAAAACAAGGAGGGTACTCGGATGTAGCTCAGTGCGGAAGCACCCGCCTGTATCTGTGAGGCCCTGGGTTCAATTCCCAGCGCTGGGGAGAAAAAGCGCTGCTGTTCCTTTCTTTCTCTTTTGGGGCAGAGTCTTGTACAGTTCAGGAGGTGTCTGTTTGACTTATTGCGTAGCCCGGGCTGGGCTTGAATTTGCAGCCATCTTTTTGCCTCAGCTTCCTGAGGGCCGGGATTACAGGCCTGGGCCATCAGTGAGGTGGACACACTGTGATGAAACCAAGTCCACCCCTGTCCCAACATTGTAGGTTTCCCAATGCTTTTTTTTTTTTTTTTGGCACCGGGAACTGAACTCACAACCTTGCACATGCCGGGCAGGTGCTTGTGCCACTGAGCTACATCCCAGGCCTCCCCCCATGTCCTTTTGCTATTCAGGACCCCTCTGGACAGCATATCACCCACAAATACATCATTCCCAGACCAGCAGCCATCAGGCGCAGGCTCCTAGTTGTGAAGCATCTTCTGCTGGGAGTTGACCTCAGGGGCTGTTGGCTCGGGCCCTGCCCTGTGCACTCTGCACCCAACCTTTCCCGTCCTCTCTGCCTCAGTTTCCTTTCCTGTAAAATGAACATGAGGTCAGTGTCCTCTGGACCAGTGACCTCTGGGGTCACAGTGGGGGTGGTTTTTGGAACACTGCCCTGGGAGGAGAAACTGGAGGGCTTGGGTGTCCAGAGGGCATAGTGGATACCAGGTTCCAGTGCTCTACAAGGGATTGGGTGTTTGCAGTTGGAAGTCACCACTGGACCCTGTCCCAGCATTTCAGCTGTGCCTGTGTGCTGGGCCTTCCTCTGCACTGGGCCTCAGTTTCCCCAAAGGAAGGTGGCAGATGGCAGAGGGCTTCTGGGGGCGGGAAGGGAGCCAAGCCCCTGTCTCTGGAGTTGTGCAAGCAGGGCAAGCCCTAAAGTGTTCTCCGAGAGTGGGAAGCTGGACTCCGCCTCCGCCGCCACCACTGTGATGTCCCAGCGGGCTGCACTCCTGGGGTCCCACAGCGCCCACCTTCGAAGCCGAGCCCCCCTGGCCTGCACGTGGAGAGCACTTGGGTGCTTCTCGCTTCTGAGCCAGTGTATCTGATCTGTCCTCTACCACCAAGTCCTCCTTTGTGACTTGTTCTACCGGGGTTCAGTGCACCCTGGACCTTAGCCGTTGGAAGGCCGTCGGAAGTAGCACCTGTGTCACTTCCCTAGCTGTGCCTGGGCTGAGACAGCAAGTTCCTGAGGGCGCTGTGGTCTAACGCATCTCCCTGACATGGCTGGGCTGCATCGCAGCGATCAAGGGGCAAGTAAGGGCGCGGCCATCCCTTCTGAGCTCGCTCTCTAGGTGTCCCTGCCACCGAGGTCCTTCCTTGGGTCGGGCTGGTTTCCAGGTGCAGAGGGTGCAGGTGGTGGGGGGCAGACGCGGCATGCCCCGCCCCTCGACACATGGCCCCGCCCGCCTGGCCCCGCCCTCCCGCCTGGCCCCGCCCTCCCCCCACCTGCTCGCGCCCCACGTCACCTGGCCCTGCCGATGGCCCCGCCCCCGGCGCGTGGCCCCGCCCCGCCCCTCCCGTCCGACTCCGCGCCCAGGTGGCCACCGCGGACTCAGGTGCGGCGCAGCCGGCGCAGGGGGCTCGCGACCGCAACATGGGCAACTGCGCGGGCCGCAGCGACTTCGAGTGGGTCTACACCGACCAGCCGCACACGCAGCGGCGCAAGGAGATGCTGGGTGAGCGCGGGCGCCGGGGCCCGCTGGGGTCCGGAGCGCGGGGCGGCGCGGCCAGGGTTCCTGGCGACCTTCGTGCCCTCTGCCGGGTGTCGGCGGGCGGGTCCCCGGCGCGGCTCCTCTCAGCCCAGCCCCGTCCTCTGTCCCCGTCCCTGTCCCCTGTCCGTCCGGCCGCCGCGGTTTCCCCGCGCGTTCTCCACACTCCCCGCACGCGCGCTGCTCAGCCCGCGGGCCCCAAGGTTTCCCGGGCTCGCTCTGCGTTTCTGCACGCTCGGTCTCGGACCTGGCCCGGTCCGCAGCTCCCGGGTCCGGCCGGAGGAGGCTGGACCCATGCCCTCTCCCTGGCCACCCGCGTCCTGTCCGCGCCTTTCCTTAGCGTTGGCCACCTCGGAGTCTGACCGCCCCAGAGCCAAGTCCCAGGAGGCGGAGGGACCCTCCTGGCTTCTGGGGGAGGTTGGGGTGACTGTCCCCATCGCCACCGCTGCCGCCGGGGGATGGGGGGGGTGTGACACCCCAACCTCTATACCTGCGCTTTCTGAGCGAGCTGGGAGGGACCGCGGCGCCATTCGATCCCAGCTCCCCTCCCGCCTCAGGAGAGGGACCCCAATTTAGAACCTGGTCAGCCCTGATTCCTGTCCCTTCCTGGGCTGCCCCCTGGCCGCAGGTGTCCGCCAGATGACCCTGGCCTATGGGAGATCTGCAGCCCTGGGCAGGGTCCTTGGACTCCTGTGGCTGTCGCAGTTTGCAGCCTGGATGCGGTCTGCTGCCCAAGAGAGGGTGAGGGGGAAGAGGGCTCCCGGGATGGGAAGGGCTGACAGGCAAGAGACTGTGCTCCCTGGTCTTCAGGACACTCTGACCCTAACAGACAAGCCATTGGTCCCAGACTGGACCCAGGCTTTCTGGAGAGGTTAATGGGAAGGCTGGGAGAGGTGGTTATGCCTCCTTAGTCCTCAGGTTCCAAGCTCCTGAGCTTGGAATGTGTTCTCTCACTCCCTCCCTGCCTCTGTCCTGCTCCGAAGTGCCTTCCAGCTCGGGTCACATCCACCCACTCCAAGCAGCCCTGCCACACCCCACCTGTGAGCCTGGCACCGGAGGCCCCTCTTGTGGGGTTTCTCTGCCACAGCAGTGAGGTGCAGACAGCGGCTGGGGAACCGCACTTCTGGCCAAGCCTCCCAAGCTCAGAGTGAGCAGGTGTCCGGGTCAGGTCTCAGCTAAGGCTGTCAGGGTGGAGGGAAGTCCCTTGCTGGGCTGACCGGCAGATCGAGTGCTTAGCCCAGGACTCTGAGTGTCCACAGGGGTGTTTTATGTGCAGTAGGTTCTGCTTTCTCCGCCCTGGGCTGCCACAGCCCGGAGAAGCAGTGTGGCCATGGCCATGTGGGGCCGCTGCAGAAGGTGCCGGGAGCCACGCAGGGCTCCTGGGCCGGCACAGATTCAGTTAAGATCCCAATCTCAGAGCCAAGTCCCAGGAAGTCTTGCACACAGCTGGCTGCGGGTGCTGTGCAAATGCGGCCGAAGTCCATCCCCAGTTCCTGCTGGGGTGAGGGTACCTCAGAGCACAGTGGCGGAAGAAAACAGGGTTCCAATGGCAACCCCTAAGGACCAGGACTTCCAGCCTGGGACTCCTCCCAGGGGTGGAGCAGGCAGCCTGGGCTCTTCGGATACCAAGCTTGGCTGGGCAGCAGAACAAAACACACACAGGCTTTGGTTTGTCTTTTAAAAACAAATACCTTTGTAATTTTGTTTGCCTTCCCAAAAATTATGAAAGCCGGGCTCATACAATTAAAAACAATTCAAATGAAGAAAACAAAAGGGGAAAACCAGGAAGTGTAACTCTTGGCTAGGGTTGGATTCTTTGCTTAGGAAAAGTCTGGCGTGACTTGCGGTAGCAGGGTGGGACGACTGAGAACTGACCAAGCTTGCTGAAGCTACCAGGGCAGTGGGGGGCTCTGGTCATCCAGCCGTGGAGATACGGGGCTCCAGGCCGGCCTCAGCTTCCTCTGCCAGCCGGCTTGGTTGCGGAAGTAAGGGAAGAGAGGGGTGTACCTGACTTCCTGCCCAGGGCGGCTCCTTGGTGGCTTGGCTGGCAGGGGCTCCCTTGGAGCTCTGGGGCTGCGTGGTCGGAGGGGGCTGTGCCATCGGCACCCAGCAGCACAGGTGGCCGGGCCCTGGTCCCTTACTTTTCTCCCCGCCTTTCCCTTCTGTACAGCATAGTTCTTTCTGTTTGAATTTTGTGGGGTTTAATTTATTGCGGTGCTTTGGGGCATGCATGGGACAGTGTGCCCTGGCTGGGCTGCGCCCTTGGCCGGAATTCTTGGCCCTAAGTCTGCATCTCCCCAACTCCTGTGTGTCCTTCAGGCCTAGCCCTGATGTTCTTTCCAGAGAAATGCTCTCTTGTTACGTGTACACACACAGATGCACACACATGTGCACAGGTGGTATGGGTGCCTCTAGAGTGGCCTGAGTGGTCACATGTGCCGTCTGTGATGGCCAGTGTCCAGCCTACCCCGGAAAGAGGCTCTGTCTGGTTCTGAGAGCTGGTCCCGTGGGCCTTGTCATCTCCCAGTGACCCCTTGCTCCCCGGGGGGACTGTGATTGATGCTGCCTCCCTCCCTGGCGCCTGAGGTGGAGGGAAACTGAGGCCACTTCCCAAAGCCTTTGCCCTCTCCGGGAGAGGCCACTGCCCGCCTTGGCAGATTCGGAGTTTGGCGAGGCTGGGGGTGGAAGGTGAGGTTCACTGTTTGTCTGTCTGTGATGAGCCCACAGAGCCATTACACGGGTACTAGGATCCAACAGACTCATTTGGGGGACAGAAATGCCGGCGTGGAGAGATTGTCCAGCCGGCCAGGAGTGGGGTTGCCTGCAGCTGCCCCTGAGGCGCACTGCCCTGGCTGTCCTGGTCTGTGCCTCCCTGAGACGAGGGCCATGTCCTCCTGGGCTTCACTGCAGCTGTTAGTGTCCTTTGGTCACCCTCTTTGTGGCCTCTGTTCCGTGCCACACTTGGCAGAGCCCTGCCTGCGTTCCTCCTTTAATTTTTAACAGTTTTATGAAGTGAAATTAATATGCCACTCAGCCTTTCTTCCTATAGGCTCCGCCTGTGCTCTTTAGGAAGCCATATAACACAGCTGCAGGGTGCTCTGCCACACCCAGCTGGCCCGAGGACCTCAGGCCACATCCGCCCGCTGTCTCAAATCCTTCAGCGGGGAAGTTCCAGCTCTAGGGTCCAGTGCGCTTGTGTGCCCTCTCTCGCCCTCCACAACTGGCACCTACTGCAATCTGGACCTTCCCTGCCACCACCTGCATTCTCACAGACCTTTGTCACCTATTTGTCACCAGGACGAAAAGCAGGTTTAGCCAGCAGCCAACAAGAGGTTGCTAAGTTTCTGGTTCCCTGGCTGGATGGGGCTCTGAGCAGAGGTGGGTGCTGTAGGACCTTTGGCCAAAGTGAGAAGCCACCAAGGCAGGAAATCACAGCCACCCAGCTCCCCCAGATGGAAACCAGTAAGGAAGGATCAGACCACACTTCTGAGCTAGTGGGTCTATCGGGTACACAGGCTGCTCAGCTAACAACAGTAGGATGCTTGGTTTTTTTGGGGGGGACAGGACCTGGCTATGTAGTTCAGGTTGGCCTTAAACTCACCCAACAATCCTCCTGCCTCAGCCTCCCACATGCTGGGATTACAGGTCTGTTCCACCATGCCTGGCTATAACACATATGTCTTTCAATATCATATGGAATCTTTTCCAAGGTACACTATACAGAATGATTAAGCCAGAAAGAATGACTAAATAAATACAAAAGGGTTGAAAGGATCCCTCCATTCAGCTGGAGCATAGCAGAATGAAGCTAGAATCAGCAGAAGCCAGAGAAAATACACAAACGCAGGGAGATTAAATAATTCCCTATTGAATAATCAGTGGGTCACAGAAGAAATCAGGGAAGAAGGTAAAAATTCTCTAGGACAGATGGCAGCGGTGAGAGAACAGAGCAGCCCCAATAAATAACCTAATGGCGCATCTCAAAGTGCTAGAAAGACAAGAACCTCGAAATCAATGAATAGAAGGAAAGAAATTATAGCCATCGGAGTGGAAATTAATGAACTTAAGTCTAAAAGCGGTACAGAGGATCCCTGAATCAGAGTTGGTTCTTGAAAGGATGGAAGGAGACCTGGAGACCGGGGAGATGGGAGGACAGAAGGGGAGTCACGGGACCAAGATGTGCTAATATGCGGGTCGCACGTGGTGGTACATGCCCGCAATCCCAGCATTTGGGAGGCTGAGGCAGGAGGATTGCCCAAGGTTCATGGCTAGACTGGGCAACATACTGAGTTCAAGGCCAGCCTCAACGACATAGCAAGTGCCTGTCTTAAAAATATGTGTGCCAACTTTCCCACAGTGAATGTATTTACTATGTATCACAGACACACACCACTAAAAAAAATCTGGGGGAAAATGGCAGCCTTTTCAAGAAAGGCAAGTGATTCATCTGTGATGGGTCAGCGCACTTCCTGATGTGACCACCAGGTGGCACTATCAACACAGAGCAGCTTGGTGACAGAAGCAGGAAAGCTGAGGGATAGAGTTGGCAAGCTGGGCACTCGTGGGCAAAGGTGAGGTCACCAGTGATGACTGTCTTGTGACGGCATGTGGCCTCCCTGGGAAACAGGAGCATCCAGTGCCTGATGACACCGGGGCCCAGGGTGTGGTGGGTCCAGGACAGAAGTGAGAGGCCAGAGATGGAGGCAGCTAGTGCCGGCTGCAGCTGGGAGGGGGATCCTGCCCCCGCCCCTTGGTAGCCCTACAGAGCTGTCAGGAAGATTTCTGGAAAAACCAAGGGTCCTCCAGTGCTCATTGTGACCATGTTGTCAGTGCAAGGGGCCCTGGGTGTCGCTGACCTCCTGAGACTGTTGCTTGGCCCTGTGCACCGGCCATCTCCCCCACCTTCCCACTCCAGTACCATGTGCTCTTCAGAAGGACCCTGGTTCCATGCCCATGGCCCTGGGGTGCTGGAGCGGGCACCTTAGAGAGCTCTGATCCTGGCTCAGTTGCCTTCCTGTGCCGGTCTCCTTGGGCTGCAGAGAGGCCCTGCTATGTCTTTCTGGACACGGTGACCCAGCAGTGGCTGTTTTGTGGCCAGTGGCCCAGCTGCCCTGGGCCCTGTGTGGGGCTTTCGGGTTCCAGGTCACTGTCTCTGGTGTGTTCGTCAGTGGAGCATGGCGCTGTTGAGGCATGTCCATGAGTCTGCTGGCTCTAGGCTGGCATGGACAGAGTCACCATTGGGGTCATTGCGTGCCACAGCAAGGAGTGCCAGCTGGCCCTGGCAGGCCTGGGTGTCCATGCTGGCCTGGGGTTCCTGATAGGGTGCAACGAATTTGTTGCCACCCAGTCTCCTCCTGGGTGGCCCAGAGGAGCCAGAGCCCAGCGGGTTCCCCTCCCAGCCACACCCACGGTCCTCTTCCCTTGAACCCTGGTGAGCGTTCCCCTTTGGGACAGCACCCCAACTCTACCTTCCCGGGTGCCCGACCTTTGCTGCTTCCCTCTCCCTCTCTCCGTCTCAACTGGCCTGGCCTGCCCCCTGATTCACCTACTTTTTTTTTTTTACACTTTTTTTTTCTTTTTTTCTTTTTATCGTACTGAGGATCGAACTCACGACCGCCTGCTTGCAAGGCAGGTACTTATGCGGCTGAGCTAAATCCCCAGCCCCAGCTTTTTTTTTTTTTACAATTTTTTTTTTTGTATCACCTACTCTTAACTGCCAGAGTTTCTGCCACTGGCACTTCTGTGACCTGGTTCAGCCCAGTGGACACATCCTTTTTTCCTGTCTCTGGTCTTCCTTGGTCTCTGGCAATGGACCCCCATGAGCCGTGGTCTGAGTGGTACCACGTGCTGTCCCAAGGTAGTCCTGTAAGTCCTCTCCCATTCTTCTGGTCTGCGTGGCTGTTGGTCCCCACAGTGTCCTTCTGGGGTGACCTGGGCTGAGTCCTTTCTGACTGGCAGGTCAGCCTGACCCTGTTCCTCATCTCCCCGCCCAGGGTCAGGACTTGCAGTGGTGCTGCCTGGGAGTCCCAGTGGGCGGCAGCTGCTGGGTGCTGTCCTCTGAGCCCTGCTGGGTCCTCCCAGCCCTGGGGGACTAAGCTGGGATTGGGCTTCTCCCTGGGTGCTGCCTGCTGCAGCTGTGCCCCTTGGGTGCTTCCTGTCTGCTCTGTGGTCCAGAGTGAGCCTCAGCCAGGCCTACCTGGGGGCCACTGCGAGGCCTGTCAGCTTCTCAGGCTTTGTCCGCTTCCGAAGGATGATGTTTGTGGCTGGGAGCATGAGGTTGGCCTTTGTGGAACAGGCTGGGGGTCAGGCGATGCCCCAAGACCGAGGTCAGATGTGGGATACTTGTGCTTTTGGACCAGACCCCATGGAGCAGCAGCTGTGACACTTGGGGTTCCTGCGCGTTTGGGCTCGGCACCATGGCAGGAACCTCCCTCTCCTGGCTGAAGCTGAGCACCTGGTGGGTGCTGAGCTGGGCCTGAGGGTGTGGCCGGAGTGACGGGCTGCAGGCCTGCCTTGAGCAGCACCGGGGACCCTTGGCTTGGCTCCCGGGGTCTGTGGAAGGGGCATCTGGGATTGGTGCTATTGGGTCCTATCCCCAAAGGTGGCCTAGCCTGGGTGGGGAGAGGAGGACCCCAAGTGTATCCTCTTTTGCTCCTGGTACCCTGCATGCAGGTCAGGTTTCTAATCTGCATTCAACAGAAGGAAATTGAGGTGCAGTGGCTCACACCTGCAATGCCAGCTACTGGGAGGCTGAGTCAGGTTTGCAAGTTCAGGTCTATCAGGGCAATTTAGCAAGGCCCGGTCTCAGAATTCCACAAATAAAAAGGTTAGGGGTGTAGCTGAGTGACAGTGCGCCCCGAGTGTGCTCGGCTGGGCTCTGGGGCTGTTGCTGCTCTTGCCTGCTGTGCATGCTGGCCTGGACTGAGGGATGGGCCCTGGGCTCACCCGGCGCAGGTGCACAGCCCCCGGGCTTGGCCGCCTTCCAAGAGGGAGCAGGGGCTGAGGGCCTGGAAGTGGGGGCCTCACGCCATGTGGGCTCCTGGCCAGGCCCAGCCTGACACCCAGGTGAGCATGCAGGCTGGGGACTTTGCATGTGATTTCCCTGTGGCCTGTGGGCAGGGCCTTCCTGAGAGTGGGGCCCTGTGTTCCTTGGGCCTGCCTGTCGAAGACTGTGTCGCCTGTCTTGCTCACCTGGCTGCGGCCTCCCCTGTGTCCTCCACCAGAAGTTCTCATCTTTCCAGGCAGCACCAAGGCACCTCTGGGGTATACCCGGCCCTCAGCCCCTGAGGGACAAGGTCGAGCTGGGGACGAGGCCATCTATCACCCCCTCCGAGCGGAAGGCTGCAGGGTGGCCCACAGGTCCCCTGGGCTCAGGTCCTCCCCACCCAGGGGTGCCTTGCAGACCTTGGGCAGGTGAGCAGACAGCCGGGAACTGTGGGTCCACCGGGCGCTGGGCCAGTTTCCTGCAGCCCAGACTGTGGGATGTGGAAGCCAGCAGGACCCTGCCCCACCCAGAGGGCCTGGGAGGACCCCATTGGGACTTCTGTGGCCTCAGGAGGCACCCGCCTTGCTCGGCACAGCACCTTCCTGGGTGTCCTGGCCAGCGGTAGCAGGGGCAGCCTGCCTGTGTCACAGCACAGCGGCTTCCTCTCCTGAGAGCCGGCCTCGGCCTCCCTGGATGAGCTTGGGCTCCAAGGCCGCCTGAGGCCCTGAGCGTCTTGGGTTGTGGGCTTGGCGAGGAGGGGTCCTTGGGTCCTGCTCCTCTGCCTGCAGCAGTGCCATCTCCTGCACATTCAGAACGGAAACCCGCCCAGCCTGGTGGGGGCATTGCAGGGGGTTGGGGCTCCGCCACAGGAGGTCCAGGCAGGTGGGCAGGGCAGGAAGGAGCAGTTAATGCCTGATCTCTATCACCATCCTCTGCAGCACTGCCTGCACGGAAGCCCAGGGCCACGTGTGCTGCTGAGGTATCCAGGCCACCTGCCCGTCCTCAGGCCACCACACGCCTTGTGGAGCTAGCAGTGCTCCTGTGCCTTAGGTCCGACACATAGCCACCAGGCAGCGCTGTGCCCCCGTGTGCTATGGGGTTTATTTTTTTATTTTTGAGACAGGGTCTCACTGCACTTCAGGCTGGATTTGAACTCATTTTGTAGCCCAGACTGGCCTCGAACTCACAGTGATCCTCCTGCCTCAGGCTCCTTAGTGCTGGGATTGCAGGCGTGCGTCACCATGCCTGATGGGAGCTGGGCTTTTAAAATTTCCTGTTACTGTGGTCAAATGTATACAGCTTAGGATTTGCTGCTTGCTTTTGAAGAGTGCAGCTGCTCACATGTGTGATATGTGTGAACCGTGCTGCCTGCCAACAACTGCACCCCTTTAGTTAGCCCTTTCTTCTTTTTGAGACAGGGTCTGGCCTTGGATTCACTGTGTAACCCAGGCTGTCCTCGAGCTCAGCACACCCTCCTGTCTCAGCCTCCTGAGTGCTGGGATGACGGGCGAGTGCCACCATGTCTGCTTCCCTGTCTGTTTTGAATCAGGTTGTTTGCTTTTCTGTTGTTGTGTAGGAGTTCCTTTGACAATCTGTCTACTTGGAGCTGGCGGCCATGAACTGGCTCAGAACTGTGCTCCCTCCCATCCTCCGGGGGGGCACTGCTGCCCCCTCTCCTGCTCCCCTCTGCCCTGGGGAATGCTGTGTACTGGCCTTGCCCGACCCCCCAGTGCCCCAGAGCACTGGCACCTAGCACGCCCATCCACCTTCCGGGTCCTGCCACACAGCCCCCAACCCCCGGCCCCCTTCACCTTCGGGGAACGTTTGTTTCTCTTTTATAAACAGAAAAGTACAAAGCCTGGGACCTGTGTCTGCGCCCAAGATAAACACAGGCAGCATCTGATTCTTTCCTGTAGTCCTCATTGGCTTCAAGAACTGGGACCTGAGGCCACGCCACAGCCCCAGGCTGCTCCCTCCCTGGCCACTGCCCGGTGCCTGCCTCTGGCTGGCAGGACAGTGACCAGCTCTGTCCAGACACCACCCTGGGCAATGCCTCAGCCTGCAGCGGCCGATTCTGCAGGGTGGTGTTTCATTTCTGTTGCCTGCTCTTTATTGAGGCTGGTCGCACATTTCCCTCCTCCGGTGTCCCCACCCTACAGGCTGAACCCGGCCCCAGGCACTGAGTCTGGTGCCATGTCACAGCAGGATGGCTTAGCTTTTGGAGCACGGGCAGGGTGCCACAGGGAGCTATGCTCAAGCCTGTGTCACTGCCTGAGGCTCACAGGTGGGGACAAGTGCTAGGCATGGTGATACACACGTGTGACTGAGGTCTGGGAGGCTGAGGCAGGCCTGCAAATCTGAGCCCAGCCCGAGGCACTTGGCAACTTGTGGAGACCCTGTCTCAAAATAACAAAGTGTGTGTGTGTGTGTGTGTGTGTGTGTGTGTGTGTGTGCGCGCGCGCGCGCGCGCGGAGAGGGAGGGAAGCGGGCTGGGTGGAGGACGGAATGGAGGGGAAGGGGGGCAAAGACCCCCTGGCCTCACTGTCTCCCCCTCCTCCCTGCAGCCAAGTACCCGGCCATCAAGGACCTGATGCGGCCGGACCCGAACCTCAAGTGGGCGGTGCTGGGCCTGGTGCTGGCGCAGCTGCTGGCCTGCTGGCTGGTGCGGGACCTGGCGTGGCGCTGGCTCCTGTTCTGGGCCTACGCCTTCGGCGGCTGCGTGAACCACTCGCTGACGCTGGCCATCCACGACATCTCCCACAACACGGCCTTCGGCACGGGCCGCCCCTCGTACAACCGCTGGTTCGCCGTCTTCGCCAACCTGCCTGTGGGCGTGCCCTACGCCGCCTCCTTCAAGAAGTACCACGTGGACCACCACCGCTACCTGGGCGGCGACGGGCTGGACGTGGATGTGCCCACGCGGCTGGAGGGCTGGCTCTTCTGCACGCCGGCCCGCAAGCTGCTCTGGCTGGCGCTGCAGCCCTTCTTCTACTCGCTGCGGCCGCTCTGCGTGAACCCCAAGGCCATCACCCGCATGGAGGTGCTCAACACGCTGGTGCAGCTGGCCGTGGACCTCGCCATCTTCACGCTTGGGGGCATCAAGCCCGTGGTCTACCTGCTGGCCAGCTCCCTGCTGGGCCTGGGCCTGCACCCCATCTCGGGCCACTTCGTGGCTGAGCACTACATGTTCTCCAAGGGCCACGAGACCTACTCCTACTACGGGCCGCTCAACTGGATCACCTTCAACGTGGGCTACCACATGGAGCACCACGACTTCCCCAGCATCCCGGGCTGCAACCTGCCCCTGGTAGGCGCCGGGTGGGGTGGGCGGGTGGGAGCCCCGGGGTCCCCAGGGCAATGGAAAGGGCGACCAGGTGTCCCTGGGTGCCCAGGGAAGCCATGTGCCTGCGCAGGGGCCCAGCTTCCTCCCCTGTGTAGGTCACACTGGCTGTACTGGCTGGGAGGCCCCTCGCTGCTCTGTCCTGACAGCCTGTGACACCACGGGTGGCCTGCTGGGACAGGGTGGGGACGGGAGCCCAGCCCTGGCCTCGGAGGATCTGAGTGTGAAGGGAGGGAGGGGACGAGAAAGAGGAAGAGGAAGAGGAGGTGGAGGAGGATTGGGGGAGGAAGGGGACAACCCACCCCTCAGGCCAGGCCTGCCAGGGGCAAAGGGGGCTGGGGAGGCGCGGTGGGCTTGCACACGTGTCTGTGTGGAGGGGGAGTGTGGGAGTCACAGCCCTGTGCCTGGCCACAAGTGCCCGCGTCACTCCTCTGTGCTAAACTGAGGTGCAGAGTCGGAGCCCCAGATGGCTGTGGTGCAGCCTCGGCCTCAGGCAGAGAGAAGGGCTCCCTGCCAGTCCCCAGCTGGGAGGCAGGGCTCCTGTGCCCTGCCCTTGGCAGCCCCTCACATGGACCTGGGTCACATGACTCAGAGGCCAGGCGCACTTCCTGGAGGCAGCAGGCTGGGAAGGCTGGGAGGAGGGAGTGTCAGGTGAGCAGGCAGGGGGCCAGGGCCAGGAGCATGGCCGGTGGAGAGGGCATGGGATGCTGGGCTGAGGAGTGAGCAGGTGACCTGGAGGTGGGCAGGACACAGGGCGCAGGCCGGGCCATGCCCGAGACCTCTGGACCCCAGTGAGTCAGTCCAGCCTCCTGGATCCTAGCCCTTGTGTGGGTTCCAGGGCTGGGGCACTGTGCTTCACCTTGGGGGTTCCAAGTGGCAGGCCTGGGCGGGGTGAGCAGGACCCCCGTGGGCGACAGCAAACACTGGGGCAGCCCTGATCCCAGCCCTCCCTGCAGGTGCGGAAGATCGCACCCGAGTACTACGACCACCTGCCGCAGCACCACTCGTGGGTGAAGGTGCTCTGGGACTTCGTGTTCGAGGACTCCATGGGGCCCTATGCCAGGGTGAAGCGGAAATGCAGGCTCGCCCAGGACCAGCTCTGAGCCCCGGCTGCTGACCGGGGGCCGCATCGCTTGCTGCCCATCCCGCCCCTGGCCCTGCGTGCTCCGTGGCGGCCTGGCTGCCCTGCCCCATGCCCCTAACTGCTGCTTTTTGTCCCCACTGAGCCCGGGCTGGTGATGGTGGGCACGGCCCCCGGAGCAGCCGCTTGGTTTGCATGTGGACTCATGGGCAGCGAGGCCTGCGTCACTAGCTGGCTCTGCGCCTGGCGTCTCTGTGGAGCTCACGTGTCCAGGCTTTGCAAGCCCCGAATTAAACCAAGGTGTGTTTTCACAGTGCGGCCTCGTGTCTGAGGGGTGGCTCAGCTGCAGGGAATGAAGCCCCAGGGCTGGGCAGGTCACATCCAGGCCTCCATGTTGCCTCCTCCTGGCCACTGTGTGCCATTCCTGTGACCCAGGTACTTGCTCGGGTGGTGTCCCTGGGCCCGGTCACTGAGAGTTGGGTGGACAGCGGAAGGTGCTGCAGCCTCAGGAGACTGGGCAGCAGCCCGGATGCCGCTGAGCTCTGCTGCCCCATCTCTGGTCCTCGACCCTGCAGAAACTGCCCTGGGTCCAGAGGCTCAGCTGCCAGCCTGCTCTGCCTGCGACTTGGGGGCTCCGTGCACATGGCTGAGGTGTCTGTGGGAAGTGGAGACAGGTGTCCCCGGCCTTCTGCAGAGGGGCTGACAGCACTGGGGCTGGGTGCTTGGCAGCAGTGGCAGTGCTGGGAGCTGCCCGTGGAAGAGAAGGGTGTGGCCGGTCTGGGGACTGGGCAGAGGCCAGGGCTTGGCTGAATGAGGCCATGGGCCAGGAAAGGTGAACTGTGGCCTGCTCCTCACGCCTGGACGTGGCCCAGATGGTGCCAGGCACAGGTGTCCCTGAAGCGCTCTCTGTGGCTGGAGGCTTGGAGTCTAGGCAGGTCTAGTCTAACCCTCCCTGTGCACACAAGCAGACCAGCCCTGAGGGCGAAGGGGGGAGCTCCTGGAGCTGGGCACTGCCCGCTGGCGTCACACATTGGACTGGCAGTCATGCGCCTGTCTTCAGGGTTGCTGGGTGCATGGCAGGGAAGGCATGTCCAGGGCAGGGCCCGAGAGTGGCAGTTCCTCTGGTCCCAGTGTGCCTTCCCTCCCTCGGCCTGGGGCCTTCAGAGGGGAGTGAGCTAGAGGTGGGTGCTCTGCTCTGGGGTCGAGGCGGCCACAGAGGTCACACAGGACAACCTGGAACCAACGGTCACGGTGCACTGAGGCCTGCGCTGTCTGCTCCTGGCCATACCTGCACCGGTTCCCAAGGCCAAGGGTCAAAGCTGCCTTTGGCTGAATGAGGAGCGGCTGCTGGTGGCCCCTGGGCAGTCTGTCCACTGCCCCGTGGCAGCTGGGCTGGGGCATCTGTGGGAAAAGCAGGGCAGAGCTGCCCTCACCCTGCCCACTCTCAGCCCCACTCCGAGGCTCCTGCCGGCTGGATGCTCACAAATCCCAGCGGAGGGCCTGTCCACAGGGTCCCTGAGGGATGTGGCCTCTTCAGGAGGACCCAGGGCCCAGGCTGGGCCTGCAGAGCTGCCAGGCTCACCCCTGGCCCAGGGACCCTGTGACCCCACTCTTGCTCCTGTTCCTCCTGCTGTCCCTGGCCCCGCCTTGCCAGCCGAGGGCTCACTGGCCTGGGCAAGGACAGCGCGACAGAGAGAGGGCCAGGGCCGAGTGTGGACAGTAAACGATTTATTACGGTGTGGACGACACGCGGTGCGCGGACGGACTGTGTCCCAGCTCCCGCTGCCTGCGAGGCTGCCGACAGCTTCACCTGGGAGCAAACTCGGAAACCATGTGATGAAGTGGGTGCTCTGGGGTGTCCTCTAGAAACCCAAAGAAATGTACACTTAAATAAGCAAATATAAAATACAAAAACAGAGTGGGCCTGGTGTTCTGTGTTGGGTAGAATCTAAAAAAATCCAGGAGTTGGCCGTTTCCTCCTCTCCACAGCCGACCACAGGTGGGCCTCGGTGACCTGCGCGCCGGCTCCTCGGGCTCCTGTGTGCTGGGCTGGCCCAAGGCTCCCCGGTGACCTCCGTGCCGGGGCCGCCTATGTGGTGCTGACCCCGCTCAGCTCCTGCCTGATGGCTGGGGGACAGGACAGGAAAGGAAACAGGAGGGGCTCAGGCCACACCATGCATGGACCTGCCCGCATCATCCTCTCTGGTGTGGGGATATCGTGTCCCACCCAGTCCGGGCCGCCAGAGTGCACACTCTGGCCCCGGGCCCGACTCTGCAGCAGCTTTGGCAGGGACATTCTGGAATGTCAGGGGCATCTCCATCACTAGTCCCTGCGGCCCCTGCCTCCCTGTCAGGGACAAGCTGCCAGGGCCTGCTGTTGGTGTCCCGGGAGTGGCCTTGAGTACTGGCACCAGGGCATCCAAGTCTGTTTAGGAACCATAGCCTCTGGCCTGGCAGAGCAGAGGCTGGCCCTGGCTCTGTCCCTGGCAGGGGACTATGCCGTGTCCTGGCCTCCTGGTCCCCACCCCATCAGTCAGCCTGGCCAGTGATAAAGGGTCTCCCTGGCCACGATGGCTGCTGGACAGGCAGAGCTGGCCAGGTTTGGTCTGCCCTGCCCACACCTTCCCTCTTCCTCTGGCTGCAGATCTGAGCCAGCTCCTCAAAGGCCTGTGGGGCCGGAAGGGCGGATGTGATGCAGGGGACGTGGCCCTGCTCCCTGGGCCAGGGCTCCTCAGGGGGAGCCGAGGCAGGAAGGAGCTCGGGCCTAGGCAAGGCAAGGCAGTGGTAGACCAGAGAGGTGAAGGAGCCAGCGGATAATAAGGCCCGGATGTCTGCCAGGACCCCTCCACACGGGGTCTCCTGTCCTCTGGGGGAGCAGGCTCACGCAGGCCTGGGGCTCGGGCCACCACTGAGCTCTGAGCCACAGCTAGAAGCAGGCAGGGTGAGGAGAGCATGTCCTCCTCCTCTGCATGGGTGCTGACTGGATCACCTGGTGGGACCCACCCTGGCATGGTCCCCTTGCCCAGCACCCTGCTGGCATTACTCTGCCCGTGCCCAGGCCCCACTGTGCTCACCATCAATGATCTCCTCCTTCACCTTGTGGAGCTCACGCACCACCTCCTCCAGGATCTCCTGCGGGACACGGGCTCGAGTGGGGAATGGTGATGGGGGGAGGGGCTCCCATCCCCCAAGGCAGCCTCGGGTGACAGCCAGAGGAGGGTCACCTTTGCTCAGGTGCTGGCACAGTTGGGGGCCATTCATGAGGCTCCCAGGAGAAGCTCAGCCACATGCAGGCCCCAGGACAGGAAACGTCCCAGCAGCTGCTCTTCCTGGCCTGGGGGGAGGAAGCGCTCACCTGTTTCATCCGGTCCAGGTCGAAGGGATCCAGGGCCATGTCGCTCACGCTTCCGGCAGGCTTCACTCTGGGAGGAGAAGATGGTACAGACTGGTGGGTGGCAGGGCCTGCAGGTGCCTCTCAGAAGTCTGGGTCCCTGGAGGTCCCTGACCTCTCTGGTGCTCTACCTATGGTGGCGTGTGTGGCCAGGCAGGCTCCCTGGTGCTGTGACCACATTCCCCAGTGGACCTGGGCCCATGAGGGGCAGACGTGTGACTTTAGGGTTCTCGCAGAAGGGGTGGCTCAGGCAGATGCTTGGCAGCTGCCCGCCACCTCTTGGGGGGCAGATGGGATGGACACCTACTCCTCAGTGTCCCTGGCGACAGCCAGCCCCCGTGTCATTAAGTTCCACAGGAGCTGACAGCCAGCTTGTCCCAAAGCCACCCCCTTCCTACCAAGCCAGTACCAGGATGGGCAGATGGCACCCAGGGAGTGGACTAACACGGACGCTTCCTGCACAGATCTCCCGCCTGGGCCTCACCCTACTCTGGGGTCTCTTGGAACCCCATCTCGGGGCATGGGTTGGGCTCACTCTCTCCCCATATGGAGGGCGTGGAGGCCTGAGCCCACTCATGACACCTGGGACCCGGGCCTCTCAGCTGAGGGATGTGGGCTGTAAAAGCAGAGGCTCCATAGTCTCTTAGACACACACGAAGAGGACCCAAGTATGGTGCTGAACATGTCTGTGAGGACTTGGGGTCCACATGGCCCTTGGCCTTCCTGCAGGATACAGGCACCACACCTGGCTGCACCCCCATAGCCGCCCCACAGGCAGCTTCCTAAGCAACACTCTGGGGGAAAGGATGCTCTTGGGAACCATCTGAGGGCTGGAGAGACACACCCCAGGGCCTGGCTGCTGGGACATGCCCTAAAGCCATCGGTGGGCATCCCCAAGGCTCCCGGCCCTGCCCACTCTGCCCTGCCATGGTCGCCTCGCCTCCACAGCCAGGACCGGGGTCCCTGAGTGCTCAGCCCACTGGCTCTGTGCTCTACTGTCTGTCAGGCCCTAATGTGGGGTACAGAGGCCACTTCAGCCAAACCCTCCCGCCCCCAGCCCTTCAGCTGAATGGCCACGGCCTGGGTGGTTGCAGCACTGGGCTGCACACTTCTGGTCCTGCATCTGCGGGCTGCACAGCACCCTCCAACCCCAAGCTCCCAGCACCACTCCCTGAGCTGCCGGGGCCTGCAGCGGTCCTGTGGACACAGGCTCTGCATGGGCACGGCTGTCCACAGCACACAGCTGTCACCTGTGCTACCAGGCCGCCACTCCTGAGGTCAGCTGGAGGCCTGCTTTGCTCATGCCTGACTTCCCTTTGTAGGCCCAGGTCGCCTGCTGTGATCGGCTGCCTCCTTCACTGTGGGGTAGGCGGTGGGCACCCCTTGGGGTGGGCTTAGAGGCCTTCAGGTCCTGGCGTGCGTGGCCTGCAGTTACTCCTGGCTGCCTGCCTGCATTTTGGGCCAGCTCAGTGCCAAGTGTCCCATCCTTGGTCACAATGGCTTGGTCTGAGAAGGGACTGAGACCTGGATGGAGGCCAGGGTCTGGGCAGCCCCAGTGCTGGTGGGTGGGACAGAGGCACTAGTGGACACCTCCGGCGTCCAGCTGCTGGCCACACCCCTGGGCTGTCTGCCCCACTCCCCTGATCTCAGAAACATTGCCCCCTCTGGCTTTGCTTCTTTTCTGGAGGCGGGGAGGGAGCTGCCCACTTCCCTGGGGCTGAGGAGCACAGTCCCCTCTGGGCCAGCTGTGGAGTGACAGGCTGGGAGACGGCGCTTGGGGGAGTTAGTCAGGGGACCAGGACAGAGGAGGCTCCGAGCTGGGGACACGGGGGTGGGAGGGTGGTTCGGTACCTAGAGTGAGGCTGCGACTGAAGGGGACTCTTAGCTTCGGGGCTCTTTGCCACAGACGGGGTTCTAGGG